AATTTAATTGTTCTTTTAATATAGGGTTATAGTTGGGAGCACAGGATAAAAAAATCTGTGAAAGCATCATCTTCATAACCATCTATGCAAGATGCCTACAAGTAGAACTATTTTTTTATTTTATTTTAGAACTCTGTAATGTTTTTTTGTTTTACAGAAGACAGTAAATTTTGAGGTAGCATGACGTGGCAGCCCTTCCCTGCTGGGTTTTTTTTTGTTGTTGTTTTTTATCTCTGTGTTCTGAATGCTTTGAAAAGCAAATATACCTGGGAACATTGCATAGTTCGCAGAACTTCACGGCTCAAGCATATTCTGTCCCCTTTTCTTTTTCTTTTTTAGACCCCAGCTGGGGCCAGGGACAAACTGCACCTGAGGTACGTGCCCTTAGTGGGAACTGAGCCCGGGTGTCTCCGGACCGCAGGCTGACACTCTAACTGCTGAGCCAAACTGGCCAGGGCTCTTGTCCCCTTTTCATGGAGCCTTTGTGATCCCCTGCAATCTGAAGACGTGACCTCTCCCCCGATGCCATAAGCCATCGCTGCTCTTTGCCTCCCGTTTTACAGCTCCACTCTGTGCTTTGGGTTATAGCTATTTGCATGCATGTCTTTTCATCCAACTACCTTTCTTGCAAGTAGGGGTCTTTGCTTTTAATCTTTCACAATGTCTAGCACATGGCAGGTGCTAAATAATTCTTTGTGGAATAAATAATCAGGTTTTCCACTTGCCAGTTTAGCCTCTTTTTATGTGAGTTCATTTGACATCTGTTATATTTGGCATTTCGGTGTATAGTTTTTCTGAAAATTAACTGACCTCTGCTATTTCCCATATAACACAGCTTAACACATTGAAATCTGTCTCAGAAGAAAGATGCCAGTAGTTTTAATGATGAACTTTCTTTAATTAAGGGAGTAGTTCTAATTACTTTTGGAAATGCAAAAACAAAAAGAAAGAAATTGATTTAATTGGTAAATAAATAGTTCAGGACTTTCTCCAATGACATTGGCCTTCCCAGCCACTTTGTGAATTTCTCTACCACGTGGACACATGCACGTCATGTTCGAGATGCTCGCCCCTTCTCCAAAGCACAAATTAGAAATAAAGTAAAAACTGGAAATGAGAGCAAAGTGAATTTCAGAATTTCTCATTACTACATTTTTATTGTTAAATCACCACATTATCTCATCATTTATCTTTTCGTTTGGACCATAGGGTCCTGAGAGATGTAGAGGATTTGGGAACGTGAATGGCTTTAGCAACAAAGATGGAGAGGAATGGAAGGAGAAAGTCATTTCCTGTCAGTGCTGTTTCTCTACCAGTGGGTGGTCAGGTAGGGGCCGGAGTGACCTCTGAGAGGACCCTCTAGATACCAGTGGATTCTGTGTGGAGGACAGAATGGGGGTTTAGGCAACTCTAATTCTGGCAGTTCTTGGCAAGACGTTGTTTTGATCACTCTGGTTGGGGCACAGCAGCACATTTGGGGAGAAGCAGAAAGTGAGCCATTACCGCTAGACACACATGGGTCTGCTGATTAGTCATCGGGGTGTCAGTCAGTTTGGTCAGCCAGGTCTCTTGGAAGTGACACAAGAGCCATTGTTGACGGCTTGATGGTGTTGCCTAGTTCATGGGTTTTCTGGCTCTTGTCCTTGTTTCTTTCACCTCTCGAAGAAGGAGATTCCTAGATAATGAAGTCAGGTTAATCATGTTACAAATTAACGGTGTCTCAGTTTCACCCGAAGATTTGCCAAGGATTTAGGAGCTGTTGACACTGCCTCAGGTATAGTACTGAGGACAGCAAAGTGCCACTACCAGGAATATCACAGGGGAATTGGAAGGGTGCCACGTGTGAGTGCATGGTGGCTGCCACTGCCTTTGTTCCACGGTCCTGCCCAGACAGCGATCAGGAGAAGCTAAGACCCTTGCGCACTTCTGCCCAGGCCCCGGAGCCCAAAGCAAAGTGGATCCCGGCTGTGGACAGTGCTTTCCCCCTTGGCATCCAGGGAGATGTCATGTGGCTGGGTCTTCATCCCAAGTGCTAACTGATGCTGTTAACTTTCTGCATTGATGCCAGGAAATAATGATGAGGAAATGACGCTCTGCTTATCTGGTGCTAGGAGGTTTTATTTGGAGAACCATATGTTTCTTTAGCCAAAGGACACTAAAGTAACATCTCACTATATAGTATACCTGGAAAGAGGAGGAGGTCTCCTGATACCTTGTAGAAATTGTTATGTACCTAAATAGTGGAACTTTCCTAGCTACTAACCAGAAGGCTCAGGTCTAATGTATTATGCTAGTACATTTCCCACAAATTAAGTAGATATTCCCTACTCATAGAAACTTCTGGTAAAATATAACCTTTGACTGAGTGATTAGAAGTGTGTGTGCTTTTTGTGTAATTTTTCACTTCTATTAAGATTGTTATGTTACATTAGTGTGTGTATGTATATGTATGGTGTGCAGATAAATAGTTTGTTAAATAGGGACATACACGTAAACATTTCAGTCTGCATTTCAGTGGCTTCTGCTCCTACCTGTGTGTTTTTTGATAAGTTATTTAACTTCTCTGTGCCCGGTTTTTATTTATAAAGTACTGACTAATAATCCTACCTTACAGGTTATTATGAGGATCACATGAACTAATACATGTAATAATTTAGAACCATGTTTGGCAAAGGCTTACTATTTAGTCATTATTATTATTATATCTTCACATTATCAATTTTTAAATTTGTATTTGTTTATTTTCTTAATTTATATTTACCCAGCTATATTAGCTGAATTTGACCATTCTTGGTTGGTAATAAATAAGACTTAAAATAATGTTACACTTTTCTTCTCCCTTCGGATTTTTTCCAACAGAGTACATAATCAGGAGTCCCTAGCAAACCAACTGAGAGCAATGACAAGTCGATGATGACCTAAAACAATATTTATGACTAGATATTCAGGAAGTTAGGGACTGCACAGGCAATACAAGGTCATTGACCTTGGGTGATCAGGGTTATATGCTAGGAAAATCACTTCTATATCTTTTGTTGAAACATAGAATTATAACCTGGCTCGTCTGTCCATTGTCACCCCCACCTACCTACACAGGTGCACCCACACCCACGTGCACACGCACCACCTGTTCTCTGCTTGCAGAGGAAAATGAATGCAAACATTGGTATACTCATCAAACACATTCAGTTACATAAGGAGAACAGATGTAAAAAAAAATTACTACTTTAGAAATCCTCTCTCGATGCAGAGCTCATCTGGACGTCTTCCGCACTTTGGCTTAGCTCTTGTTGTTTGAGGGCTGTTGTCTGTCCCTCTGTCAGTGTTCTTCTGGGAAAACAAGGCCCTTGAGGAAAGACCCCCCAAAGCTGGCCCTGCCAAGCCAAGGGCAGGGGCGCTTTGGGGAAACTGGCTGCTTTACCCGCCAGGACTCTCCTCTCCCTCTCTCCTCGCAGCCAAGGCGCCCACCGGCCCCGCAGCCCTGCGTAGGAGGAGGTTAGGGAAGGCTTAGGCCCTCACGAAGTGACGTGGCCCCTCCATCTGTGTGCTGCACCTGCGTCAGGAGGGCCCTCCTCTACCTTCCCCGGGCAGGATCTCCTCACAGCACGTGGCAGACTGAATAATGGCACAGGTGGGAGCCAGGACCTGGGACTGTGTGACCTCACACGGGGACTTTGCAGATGGGACTCAGGCAAGGATCTTGAGATGGGAAGCTTCTCCTGGATCCCTGGGGGCCTGATGCAGGCACCGCGGCTCTTATCAGAGAGAGGCAGGAGGTCGGAGTGGAGAGAGGCTGCTCCTGGCCTTGAAGATGAAAGAAAGGGCCGAGAGCCAAGGAAGACAGGGGACCGCTAGACGCCGGAAAGGCAAGAAAACAGCTTCTCCCCTCGAGTTTCCTGGGGACACGCAGCCACGTTGACGTTAGACTCCTGGCCTCTGGAACTGTGAAAGAATAAATGTATGTTGTTTAATACCACTCAGTGTGTGGTAGGTTGTTACAGCAGCAACTGGAAATGAATACAAACATGAACAACAACAAAAAGAAATCTCACAAAAACTCATTTTATATGATAGTTTTATCACCTGTTTCACTTTCATATGTAAGCTAGTATGCCACATAACATGTTTACTTTTTTTCACCGAATGGATGTTTGTATTTTAGAGTCTATTCAAAATGAAATCAAAGTGAATATACTTATTCTTTTGTTAATATATACATTAGCACTGGATGCCAAAAAATAAAATCCTTGTTTAGTCAGAGGGGAGTTTTCCAAATGCCAATAAATTGATTGAATGTTTTCTTGTTTAGCTGTAATTTGTTTTTGTCTTTTAAAGGCGTTTAGTAGTCGCTTGTCTTGATCTCTTTTCTTCCTTTTGAACTAGTATTGAAGTCACAGTTCTGCCTGTGTTTCGTGTATATATGAATGTAACAGTAACTGCTTGGACTTCAGAATCACACCTGAGATCAGAAGCAAGGATGGCCCCACCCTCTCAGTGGCATGTATCATCTATTGTTAGAGCCGGAATCATCAGAATGTTGCATGAAACACAAGTAGATGACCCCCAAACGCAGTGCCTTCTTCACTCACTAGCAAGTTGCTTTGTTACATCACTTGCTCTCAGAGCAGATTCCAGAGAAAGTAGACTCGGGGCAGACAGTTTTTTAGCTGGAGGAGGAAACAAAATGAAATGGTTGCGGAAGGACATGCCTGGGTAGGACCCAACAGACGGAGGTGGAAGGTACTGATGACAATACCTTCGTCATAACTCTGCCCTCTGGTTCTCAAAGGCACAGGTCCTCTGTGTTATAGAGAGGGTTTCAAGTATGCAAAAACCTCTTAGATACTGCTCTCCCACTTCATTCAATGCCACAACGCAGTTGAGTGCTGAGTGGTAAATGTCCGTGTTGCATATGACTGAATGTATTTTTTCCTGCATGATCATCCATTGTGGTGTTTGTAAGTAGCAAACAAATGAGCCTGATTTGTTCTCCTTTGTAGAGCCAGGCCGAGGCCCACTACAAAGGAAGTAAACATGCCAAGAAGGTCAAAGCACTAGAGGCAACGAAAAATAAACCCAAAATGGTTTCTTCCAAGGACAGCGCAAAGGCTAATCCCAGCTGCTCCATCACTCCACTCACAGGCAACAGCTCTGACAAATCAGGTCAATGACACTTTTTGTTCTTTACATTCTTTGTGTGTCTCCCGGTCCCCTGCCCCAACCCCATTCTCTTCCGCTCAGCTGTTGCATGATTTCTCCATGATTTGTTTTTATAATATTAATGTGTTCCCTTCGCAGGAGGTTATGTGTTTGCATGGAATCTAAGCATCTGATATGTTACCATTCCATGTTGTTAAATATATACATTTAAGTATATATGTGTGTGTAAATATATATATATATATGTATGTATATATGGGCCACTTGGTTGCAATGTGTTTAGACAAAAATCAAGAAATGGATTTAAAATACTGACTTTATTATTCCTTTCTATTCATTTTATGTTTGGCTTTTACTATAGACTTTTTCAGTGGAGTAATTTGTAAACCTGTCTACTAATAGATGTTTTTATGTTCTTTCACCACAATGAAGGGGAATGGAGGAGCAAAACGGTGAGGTTTTCTGAGAGAGTGGCATTATTAAATGAATCTGAAAATGTGTTCAATAATAAAAGATTTTGGTTTTTGAAGATCTTTGTAGAGTTCCCTTCAGAGTTACAAGTGAACTTGAGGAGTCTAAGGGAACTATTTACAAAGTAATCAATTAACTAGCAGAAGAACTTTATGTAATTGGAAATAGGCCACTAGTGGAAGTACTTTTTAAGAAGAGTCCATATTTCACAGTCTCCGTGAATCAGCAGTTTTTCTGAGTCAGTTCAAACTAAATGATTCAGAGAGAAGAGAAAAAATTCATTTTTCTAGCATGTACACCATGAAATTGGATGTTTAATAGGCTTTCACACATTCGCATCTGCCCCTCAGGGCCCGAGATGGATGAGTCATCTCGTTTCAGGGACTCGTTGAGGACCCTGTCTATTAAAGGAGAGTGAGAGGATGTATCCCTTTCTCTGTTTGACTTTCTCTTCGGGGACCTCTCTGTTGTTGGAAACACACACTTCTCTTCTAATCTTCAAATCACTGTAGGTTTTGAGGAAGAGACTTCAGAATGCTTTCCCGTGGCTGCCCAGGGCCTTTGCAGAACAAATCTCTTGACTGTAAGAGGAAGGTTCAGAAAAGCCTCGTCGAAGAGACTGTGAAGGGAAGGAGCATTATTAATTAGGTCCCGTAAATGCTGGTTCCAAAAGCTCTGCAGCTTAGAAGGAGTAAGCTAACCCAGTCTGTTGGAAATAGAGATTTTTTTGTTCTTTATATTATAGAACCACTGATTATGTTACCTAATGAAGAGATAATAAATAAATACTGGAGTATTTTACCACACTTCTCTCTTTTTAAAAGAACAGAGGCTTTTACGTACGTTATCTAATTTATTTTTAACCCGGATCGATCAGATATTAGGGTCAGATATTATCTCCAGTGTACAAAAAAGCAAACTGAATCCAGGTCCCGGTGTGGCAGTTACTTGCTAGAGGTTACTGTGTTTGGAAGAACAGGATCCATCATCTCCTGACTTCCTGCCTGGTTTCATTTCTTATAGGATTTTGTTGCTTCTATGAAACGATACTGTCAAAGATTTTATTACCTGAATGATGCATTTGATTAGAAAAAGATATGTTTCATTAAAGGCAGCTAAGTAAGAATAGCTGTCCTGTTCACTTTTTAGAAGTTGTTGTAGAATTAAATGTAAATCCAAAGAAATGGCTTTATAGTCTCCTAGGATCTATCCCAACTTTTAATGACTCATTAATGGGAGTTCAAAGCATGGTAGGAGGGAGGAGAAATGTGCTTTGGGAGAATTGGGGTCAAAACACAGCAAGTACTAGGCAGCTTTAGGAAGATGGTGAGAACATATTGGCCAGGCACTTTACCCAAATTTCTCCCTGGAGTTCAAGTGTCAGAATGCCAGATGACAGTGCTCCTCCCTGTGACAATATGCACCATACATCAAATTGAATGTTCTTTTGTGACAGCATTTAACCACTCATAAAATGGGGTTCAAAAAAAGAGCCTTTGAAAAACATTATTACTTTAAAATAATAAAATATTGTGATAATCAACTCTAATGATAAAATATTGTGATAGTCAACCTAATGGTCCATATGCCTAGATTTTAGCAGTAGATGTTTTTTAAAAATTAATTAGATATCAAGATGGGGAAAATACATTTCTAGTTCTTCAAAGTATATAAAGCTATTTAATGCTAAACAAGCCTTTAATCATTTGCTGTCTAAATAGATGAAAGCCGATGGAATGATTTAAAATGCTACAGATATTTTTATAAATGCAATTAAGAGCAAAGATGATGGAACCAGCATGTTCTGCTTGAACAATAGCAATAGCAATGCCTTAAATTTGTTCAGTTTATAAAATCCAGTTACTTACGTGTTTTCATATGACACTCTCAACAACCCTGTAACTGGTAGGGCTGAAATTAGTATTCATCTTTCATTGATTCAAACAACAAACTTGATATCCACTTACTTAGTCAACAAATACGTATTGCTGTATACGTAGTATAGTATATCTGTATATTTTGCCAGACGCTGGAGTGCAACAGTGAAGAGAAAGATATTTTCTTGCCCTCAGAAAACTTCTAACCTAGCATGTTTTTTTTTAAATTGTGTTGGCTATTTGGACTACAAAGAAAAATAATAGTTACCATCTTCAACCTGCTCCCCACAATATGATAGCAAGAAGAACATGGGGTGTCGGAAGGTTTAAATGACCTCTGTGAGGTTCACAACACACATCCCAGTAGTCAGAGAGGGAGCCCGGCTCCCTGTGCTACGCATATTCCATTATTCTCTCGACTTCTAAACTTCTCTCTCTGACGTGGGGGAGAAAACACAAGTATCCCAATGGGTAAACCACTTTTTAACGAATTAGTAAGTAGAACCATATATTACTTTTGAATTGCTTGCTACTGTCGATATTTTTCGGTAGGAGCGATGGCATTGAAAGGACCATTAAGGCTTTGTTTTATTGATAAGCCTCCGTTCCTATGCAGTACGTGGTCTGTAGCATTTGACCGTAATAGCGCAGTGCTTTAGAAGTTACACATCTTCTCAAGGGCAAGTTTGAATGAAAACACTTGTTTCAGGTAAATGACAAATGTTCTCAAAGCTCCAGCTTGACCATTGTAGACTTTACGTGTCTAAGCCACATATACTGACTGAGATAGAGGGCAGCCCTGGGAAGGCATTGCCAGTCGGCAGGCAGGAGCCTTGAACTGCCTCCTGCAGCGTCCAGTGGCGTTTCAGTGGCATTTGCACCACTGCATCTGAAGTATTTCCATGGGGGACACGGGGATTGTTTTATCTGTCCCATACCATGGCCACACCGTGAAGACTGTGAGACGACAAGAAAAGCCATAAGGAGGGAAAGAAGAGAGGACACCCTAGAGCAGCTCTCCGCAGTTTTCAGAGTGTTGTCCTCCCGCAGGGGGCAGTCCTGTGGGTGTGGACCCAGAGCAGTTACCACCAGGAGATCAGCATGATTTGCCTGCAAAGGCTGCAGTTCAGCTTTTTACTATCACCCTGTCGCCTTATGAAAGAACATTTTCAATTTTGTCGAAGAGTTTTTCTGCCAAGGATACAAATGCAGACCCTCGCCTCGTCATTTTTATGGGTTCCCCTGTGTGTTTCACAGTTTTTATGTGTTGTTACAAATGGGGCCAAGTTTTCCAGATGACAACTTCTCATTTCTGCTGGCTGCCGCAGGACTCCATCGATTAGCTGGCAAGGTCTTCGTAACTGCCTCTTCCCCCTTTCTGTCTCCAGCAACAGGACCTTGTGCTGTTGAGTAGAAAGAAATGATAGTTTTCTGCTTTGGCAGCATCCATCATGTATAGACAAGCACCATTATAAATTTGGCATACATCTATCCAAATCTAGGAGACCGAGATTTAGTATCCCTCATAAAATAATAGATTAACTATATTTATGACAAACATCTTAAGTATGAAATTCTGGGGTACAATCATGTAGAACATAAATTGAGTCCCATCTATCTAAAGAGAACAGACCATTATACTCGGGCTCATATTTTCATGAAATGTACATATATCATTAAGACTATCCAAGTCAATTTAAAAAATGAAGCTGCCTCCATCTTCGCCCATGCACCTTGAATTTGACACAGCAACCTGCCAGGCAAGACTGACGATTCATAGGTAGTTACGTGTTTGTCATAATCTGGAAACTAACTTCTGAAACTTTTGAGCATTTTCTCTTTTTTTGCTTCCAAATAATACTGAGCATTTATTGTTAGGTTCTCCACTCCTAAAAGCTATTACCCACTGTGGCTCGAAGAGCAACAGAAAGTTAAGACTGACTTATGATTTACTGAGGAACTATTAACTTATGATTTACTAGGGATATGTTCTAAACCATTCTAAAAAGCAAAATCTTGGATATGTCCTTGAGGCTTATACCACCATTAAAAACTTTTCTGCATTGAAGAGATATTGGAATATAAAAGGACTTTGTATGTACATTGAGTAATTTTGTAAATGCACAACCATAAGTGACCTTGAGTTTTTAACAAAGATTACAACTTACATTTTTATGACATTTCACTTACTTGCTTAAGGAAGAATGCTCTTACAATGACATATTTTTCTGAAATGTGTGGATGATCAGAAAGAACTATTCAATCAATATTTGTAGATTCTGTGTGCCAGGGCCCTGGGACGGGGCCCTTCTGGGGACTGGGCCCGATTCTGATTACACTTAGTCTAGTGTCACACAAATTTAGCTTTACAGTGTAAAGCTTAAAGTGTTTTTATAGAAACATTTTTATAATATTTTCTATTGCATTTTTTAATATGTTTTTATTGATTTTTTTTAGAGAGAGGAAGGGAGAGAGAGATAGAAACATCAATGAGAGTGAGAAACATTGATCGGCTGCCTCCTGCACATCCCCTACTAGGGATAGAGCCCACAACCCCAGTATGTGTCCTGACTGGGAAAATAACCAGGACCTCTCAGTCCATGGGGCGATGCTCAATCCACTGAGCCACACTGGCTGGGCAATTTCTATAGTATT